GCTGTGAGACAACTGTTGTTGTGATGTGGCGCTATATAAATAACATTTAATTGAATTTAATTGAATTTTGTAACTTCCTTTTTTTACTTTGAATCTCAGATAAATTTCTCAAAAATCTAGAAAAGTACAGACTTCTTACCACTGCCCGATTCAGAGTTTATAATATGTAGTTTCTCGTCAGAAACTAGAGCAGGGGTGTCAAACTCCAGTCCTCTTTGGGCCGCTGTCCTGCAGGTTTTAGAGGTAACCCTTTTTTCAACACACCTGATTCACATCAAAGGGGCCATTAGACAGGTGCAAAGCTCAACAATGTCCAGAGGAGATCCAATTTAATACGAATCAGGTGTGCAGAAGCAGGAAAACGTCTAAAACCTGCAGGACAGCAGCCATCATTGAGTCCATCCTAAGCTCCTCCATCTCCATCTGGTACGTTAAGGACAAGGGCCGACTGCAGCGTATCATTCGCTCAGCCGAGAAGGTGATTGGCTGCGATCTGCCATTCCTCCAGGACCTGTACGCCTCCAGGACTTTAAGGCGCGCAGGAAGGATCACGTCTGATCCTTCTCACCCTGGTCACAAACTTTTGGAAACCCTCCCCTCTGGCAGAAGGTTGAGAACCATCAGGACCAAAAACCTCACGCCATAAAGAAAGTTTTTATCCGGCAGCAACTGGCCTCGTCAACAAACAAATCAACCAGTGACCCCCAAACTATTCTTCTCTCACCCCCCTCTACCTCACTAATTTACCCAATACTACGTTCAACTTTTTCTGGTTTGTCGTTGGACATTCAATATTTTATTTTATTATTCATTATTATTATTATTTATTTTATTTTATTCTACATTTTTATGTTTTTATTTCTACATTGTATGTCGTTTCTTGAAGTGTCGTGCACCTAACAACCAAATCAAATTCCTTGTAGGTGATAAACCTACTTGGCAATAAACCTAATTCTGATTCTGATTCTGATTCTCGAGGACTGGATTCCGACACCCCTGAACTAGAGGAACAAGGAGGGAGTTCTGCTAACAACTGCTGATCAGGGATGGGATTGGTCATGTGACCATGAGTTTTTTTCCTATCACACTGGTAAACAGGAAGCATTTCAGCCTAAGATCTCTCCCCCAGGTGGTAAACACCCAACACCCCAAAACAGGTAAACAAACCCAGCCGAGAGAGGGAAGCTGATTAGAGGTGAACAGTGGGAGTCGAGCTGCTTTTTCAGAAAAACAAAAAAATC